ATANATATATATATATATATATATATATATATATATATATATATATATATATATATATATATATATATATATATATATATATATATATATATATATATATATATTATTTATGTCCATTTATATAGCGGTAATTAAATAAAAAATTCTCAAAAGCACTCACATATATAAAACAGTAAACGAGTGAACGATTAAAGAAAAATACTAAATGTTAAACCAAAGAAAATAAATGCGTTTTTAATTCTTTTTTAAAATTGTTCAAGGAATTTCCAGATCTTCTTAACAACTCCGGCAGAGCGTTCCAAACCATCGGGCCAGCAACAGCATTGTCACGCAATCCTATTTGCAAACGTTTACCTGGTACTATGAGAAGGTTCATATCGTCTGATCTCAAACTGAAATTCGATGTGGATTCGATATATATTTATATATATATATATATATATATATATATTATATATATATATATGTACATATATATATGCCCAATAAAATAAAGAAACTTTTGTATTCTGTATTTCTTATGACAAAAAGCCATTTTAACAAAGGCATCCTAATAATAATAGACCCATAATACATATATAAAAAAAAACATATTTTCTATTAGAATCAAAATTTGCATTTTATAAAATGTAATTCGAAAATGACCAAATAAATCCTTATCAGATTGAGTCGATTTTCGTCGGATCAACTCTGTAAACGATTTTTATTTGTTAAATATCTGATAGTAAGCTATAGGCCAATGTTATTGTGTTGTATATTAATATTTGGTTTGAACTAGTCAATATTGCTTCAGCAATCTTTTGTTTATTATATATAAATATTAAATTTATTACCTCGGTTTTTGTAGTCTTGGTTTTTGTCTTTTCAAATACCACACTAGGAAATACTGTTGGGTAGGCATCTTTTTTTAGAGTGACTTTTTTTAACTTGCAAAAGGATTGTGAATAAAAATGATTACTACATATGCATGATCTCTTTCTTTCAAAACCTCTACACCAGCCATTCAATGCATTAATCCACTGACTTTAAAGGGGATTTTTGAGGAATGCTGTAATGCATCTATCAATCTATGGAGACAGGTCAAGTGAATCATTAAATATGCAATTGATATAAAAATATTATTAAAATCATATTATCTGTGCATTGATATATTTTGGTCTTTATATGTCTCATTACTACTATTTACTATACACTTTAATGGCATTTTTAATAAAACTAACAGAGCAATTATATTCAAAAACTAACTTACTGCCCAATTCGTTCCAAAGACCAGATATTTTCAGGCAGCATATCCCAAATTATCCCAAATTATCCCATATCACAATTATTTGATTCAATAGTAATATTTATTATAAATAACTGAAAAAATATCTTGATTATATTAAAATTTAAAGTAACATCAATATGGTATACCACATTACAGTTTTTATTAATAAAATAAAATGAAGAAAAATATTCGATGGCTTGTTATCTAATTCTAATTAACCCTATATTTGTCGTTGATTAAACAAGAAAATTTCGATGCCGGTACGAACGTCGATTTTTTAAAATACACGAACGAACACACCGACATTGAAATTTTTGAGTTTATTTGAACATTAATTAACAATAGTTAAAAAAAATAAATTATCAAAAATTCAAAATAAAAATACAAAAAAGCCTCATTTCTTTTACTAGTCTGGGCCTAGTGTCTCCTTTTTAAAACTTAAACAAATGACATTTATAAAATCAAAATGAATCAAATAACAAATAGTTCTAAAAATTTTACATAATTCAGTTAAATTATTAAGTTGAAAATTGATTAAAACTGCCATAGAATGATTTTAGCAGTAAAGAATGTTTACAAGAATTTGTCGTCGGTGGCACAAAAATTAACGGGAAAGAAGCTAAATATAGATTGGAAAGCTGAAAAACCCATTGACAATTTGGTGCTAAAAAAGTTTGCTTCCAAGTTTTCTGACCTTGAGAAGAAGGTCAATACCATATATCCATTCCTATATATAATTCAATAATTTTAAACAATTAAAAAAATAATAATAGCAATAAACATTGCTGACGTTTAGATATTTACTTACTGAATGATAACAAAAATAAAAAAATGAGCAAAATCACTTATTCACCTAATGAATATCATGCTTTGTTAGTTTAAGAAAAATTCATCGAATCATCGGAAGAGGAAGATAAATTCACGATGACGAAACGTTTGATATCGTCATCGTCGTCATTTTCTTCTTCATTCTCATCTTCATCGCCCAGTTTATCATCACCTTACTTCTTTTTCCTACCGCTGATACTTTCACCACCCCAAATGTCCTCTGCCTTTTCGTTGATCATACCATTCATCTTATTCAACCAACTCATCCTTGTCTCCACAGGTTGGAAAATTGAGGTTTTTCATTCAAATCTTTATTATAATATAAAATTTCATCTAATTTTTTTATTATTTTATCAAATTTTATATATTTATTTAATATTTATAGAATTCCATTTAATTCTTTAATATTTCATAACATTATATATTGTCCTTAAGAACCGAGGTTTCTAACTTGTCCGGTTCGAAATTTGTATACAATTTTTTGAGACACGTTGAATTTTGATGTTGACCATTCAGAAGAGATGAAGATAACGTGCGAGGAGAGCTGCAGTTTGCTGATAGATGGTGTGGACACACCTGTGAAGCAGACCTCAAAATCTCAAGCCGTCAGTATTGAAGTGCCAGGCGGGACAAAGGTCATTTATTTTATTAAATAAATTTAAAAGAATTAAAAAATAATATTTGATAATTTTAATTTAAACGAACAAAAAAGAAACTGTATCTCTAATTGATAATATTTCAAAATTATTGATAACATATATCTTGAGTAAATATTGAAAATTGTTTCGTTTTGAACTATTTTGACAAATTGATTTGAGCCAAGTTTAAAAATTGATTAAAATTAACTCTACAATGCACGTGTTGATTAACTTATTAAAAGACGTTGGGAGTGAATATAAAATCAAAGATGCCGTTTGGAGGTGTGATGATCGAATCGAGCGAGGGAAAATTTGACACCGATGTTTCCAACTGGAAGTACGAACTATCTACACATGAAATTGTTAAAATAATTTTAAATTTTATTAATTCTAAAATTATCTGATTTCTAGTTGACAACCGAAATATTGCTTTATCCACCTCCTGCAACTAAGGAGAACCTCAAGATTATAATTGAGTTCCCAATCCGGTAGCTGAGACAGGACCGCGTTATCAAAGAAGGTCTTTTGATTTAGCACTCCGCAGAAACCTCTGCCCAGCGGGAGGACAATATGCCAGGCTCATCTATATTCAACGACGTACCATTCCGAGTAAAGTGGACATTATAAAATCTTAAGGCCTTTATGAAACAGTTTCAAATCATAACGGTTAGCGGCCACCTGTAATTTATCGGCCCTCGCGGCCCACCAGGACTCTTTTATTTTGCGCAGCTTCTTCTGTAAGATAAGATACTTCGTGCATTTGAGTAGGTTATTTTCTCTGCATCATTGCTTTTGCCATTTATCCAAGCAGGATGTGTTTTGTGCACAACATCAAGCAATCTACGAGCCCCAGTAATAGTTTAAACGGCTTTGCCACGAGAAGGCCAAGAGAAGGACTTTATGGACTGGGGTGTGACACCCACTGCCAATGGAAGTATTTTCTAAGAGATCGGAGTTCATTTCCTATGTCCGTCCCCAGCTCAGTCAACTCATTTGAAGCCACATACACATGCTCATATACACATGCACACATACACACAAACACTTACACGCAGACTGCCGCACATACATACACACACACACGCAAACAACATCACAGATGCACAAATAAAGCTCAGGCAGGTAATGATTGGTCAAAAAATCCCTCATCTTTTTTATCGTGGCCTGAGGCCTCAATGGTGGCCGCCAACAGTGACTGCAAGTTCCCAGGACCCGGTCACTTTTATTATATTATTATAATTATTTTTCCCATTCTTATTGTTGTTGTTGCTGTTGTTATTGTTGTTGTTATGAATTGGAAAAAATTGTTATTATACAACGTTCTGTTTTCCCACGCCAAATCTTTTATTTTCGAACTCATTTTATTTGCTTTGTTGCAAGCCTAATTTAAATAGATCAGTTTTAAGGTCACTTTTTATGCTTAATAATTTATTTTATACACTTTCAATTTTTCTTTAATGTTTGTTTCTATGATGGAATTAAAAAGATGCTCTAATTATTGGCTCCCAAACAGAGCAAGCGTTCAGCACTTGCGTCGAAAACATGTTGGCCATGTCGATGTGGATTTGGAGTTCGGACGTCTCGCAGACCAGAGGTCATGATGATGTCTTCTGTGCGTTGGATGGTTAGATTGTTTTTGGAATTTTCATCTCAATGCCGTGTCATTTGTCTTTTCATAAAAGAAGGACAAGTTTGATGATATATTCGTTATTAGGCAAATGCAGAATTTCAGAGTTAAGTTAACAGAAGTTACGAAGAACGTTGAAGAAGGTTTGTTGTTTTGAGAATGTCTATGGCGAAGTTTGTAAAAAAAAACTGATGACAAAACTAGACTAATAGTAAAGATTAACAAAAGTATAGGAAATTGTTTGATGTCTAAGTCAATCTGCATTAAGGTATCTGCTATTTATTAAAATATTGAAAAGAACAGGGAAGGGTCAGAGGTGGAATACAATGGGAAATATTTTATGATTTATATTTATATTTCGACAAGATGAAATTTGATTTGAGAAACAAGGTCTTAGAAGGGGAATCCATGTACGGTTTTTAGAGACCTTTACGTGGAAAACCCAAAATTATTTTAGATGTTGTAAAAAAAGTTTTTTGAGATAAAAAGGAGACTTAATACAATTAATTAAATTAGAAGACTTAATCAAATTAAAACTAAGACAAAGGAAAATGGTTGGCATGTGGTACTAAATATGTACTATCGGTAAAAACTAACTCCAGTGACAGACATGCGGTGAAATTTTACGACAAAAATTAACATTTAATAACAAAATATTGATAATAAGTTGTTTTAACATTAATTCTATCTTATTCTATTCTGATCGCGATTCATCATACACACACAGACCATTCCATAGAAATAACTTACAATGTCACGGAACAGCTTTGGATAACGCATAATAAAACTACTGATGCACCGGATTTAGGTTATTGGCCGGATTTAGGAACAATTTTACTTACGTTAAAAAAATACATTTACGGTTATCTACATGTTGAACATCAAAAAATAACACCAAGCAAATAGTTAATTAATTCAAATAAATGAATAAGCTGTGTGGTACGCTAAATTCTGTATGCAAAGATCAGCTTATAATTTATGCATAACCCATGTTATAGCATAAAGAAATTGTCCAGCTCACCTCACAATTAGTGATGTTGTTATTATGTGTCATGTATGCTTAGCCTTTAACTTATTGATATAAAATTAATTGAATTCAATAAAAAAATTTTTCTATTTATAACATTTTAAAATGTTGTTAGACGCTTAAATCCGGCCCTAACTTCGGTGCATCCCTAAATAAAACGTAACAGCATTTATTATAATTAGGACGCAATAATTCATATTAACACACAGTGACACTTACTAACACAAATTAACACATATCATTATCTCGTATTAACACCCATTAGCACACACTAGCACACATCAACACCCATCAACACCTATCAACACATGTCAACACACAACAACACACATCAACACACAACAACACACATTGACACACATTAACACAGATAAACATACATTTACACAAACAAACACATATAAACACACATTAATACATATAAACACATATAAACACACATATTAACACTCATTAATACACATACAAACACACATCAACACATCACACCAGCGGCAAATAGAATTACACCGACAATCAAGGGCAAGGTCCCAAAGGGAAACAAAAAGAAAGAAAATGACAGAATGGATATTGACAAAGGTGGTGGAGATAGTGGAGGCGGTGGTGGTGGAAACAGTGGTGGTGGTGGAAATAGTGGTGGTGGTGGTGGAAATAGTGGTGGTGGTGATAATAATAGTACGGGAAAAGATGAAACCGGTAGAAGCGGAGGTTCGAAGGTTGGAATCATCATTGCGGTCGTTGTGGTTCTCCTCATCCTTTTATTAGCGGTGGCCACGTTTTTTGCCGTTCGACACGCTCGCAATAAAAGTAATGCAATGTTTTGTATGTGTGTTTGCTTTTTATTTGTGTAAGTGTGTTTTGTATGCATGTAAGTGTGTTCTGCAAGTGTGTTTTGTATGTATGTGTGTGTGTTTTTTATGTATGTATGTGTGCTTTGTAAGTATATATGTGTATTTTGTACAATGTACGTGTGTTCGTTTTTTATATATTCATGTATGTGTGTGTTTGTATGTGTAAAGCTTTTTTGGCGCTCATGTTGTATGAATGGATCATGCGTACATTTAAAGTTCATACTAGGACAGTTTCGAAAGAATGCTCTGGACAATTCCGTAGGCTTAAGCTCATCAAACAAACATACTCTTCAATGTCTTGTTAATTCCTTTATCTATTCAAACTAGACTATATTACGGCCTGTCTGGTGTAACTGTGTCTAGACTGCAGTTGGTTCAAAATTGGGCTGCAAGGTTGGTTTCAGGCGGCCTTAAATACGACCACTTTAAGTCAAGTCTTATTGCTCTCCACTGTCTTCCGGTTTATCAAAGAGTTAGTTTTCAGATATTTAAATGTATTAAGGAGTTTTCTTTAAATGTTCTTTAAAGAATGACAGAGTCACTCTTTGAACAATGTGACTGCTGAGTCAAACATTGCGCTCCGACAATCCAGGTTTACTGTTTGTACCTGACACAATCTCGGCTCTCGGTCGAAGGAATATTTTGGCAAGGGGTCCTGCGGTGTGGAATGGTTTGCCTATGGACCTTCGTGATCCTGCTTTTCATTTTGTAAAAAGCTGAATCACCATCTTTTTGGCCAAGCTTACTCGAGCTAATGTTTTCTCCTTCATTCATTTCATTGCTTTTATAAAATGCCACACAACGCACTGCAATAATCTAAGCACTTTTGAGATCATCCTAAAGGGCGATTACAAACACCAAATCATAATAAATAAAAATATAATAATAATGTTCGCAGGATGTTGTGTAGATTGGTTTTTTGTGCTTGCTGCGCGAGTATGGCTCGCATCTTTGAGAATGAATGGCCTCTTGGTTGGTTTTGTTTGGATTGGTATTTAAGCGTTTTGGACAATAGTCCTGTGGTCCTGCGCATTTTTGACTTGCTTTTCTAGCGTGTTTGCTGGTGTGTTTGGTTATTAATGGGTTATTGGTGATGGATTGTTCTGTGTTTTTCTAGGGGTATCTTTTTTGTTGTTGCTACTGTTCGGTTTCTGTTGCAAATTGGTTTTTGTATATTTAGAACATTTAATTTCGTTTTTTATTTAGTTTGAAACATTTTGGACTGGGTCATTTAGTTTAAAAAACATTGTAGGTACTTTTTTTTAGTTTGTGTGTGTATTTGTATGTATGTAAGTTTGTTCAATACGTTTGTGTGTGTGTGTGTATGTTTGTAGTGTGTGTATCCAATTTTTGTGTCTATGGGTGTTAGTTTTTTTATATGTGTGAAATTGTTTTGTTTTTTTGTGTGTTTGATTCGTATGTGTGCAAGTATGCAAGTGAACTTGTTTGTTTTTAAGTTTTATTTGTTCAGTTTGTATGTATGTTTCATTTAAATGTATGTTTTTTTAGTAAATATGTGAGTTTATTTTAAAGGATTGTGTTTTTGTCTTCTATTTATTGTATGTCAGTTTTCTTTGAATATTTGCTGAACGATTCGTTTCTTTGTATATCGTTGTATATATTTTAAGAATGCTAATGTTTGTTGTCTTTGTTTGTATATGAAGATAACGTACGTATTTGTAAGTGTGTGTTGTGTGCGTCAGTCATAACTGAAGTTAGTTTTTGTGTATGTAAAAATAGTTAGAGTTTGTAGGGTACCTTGTTATGTGTGCAAGTGATTTTTCCGCTGCTATGTGTGTCTGTTTGAATGTTAGAATTTTAATTTAATATTTATTTTATCCTTAATTTATTTTTTTGGATATTTTTTCAATTAAATTAATTTTTTTACATTCAATCATATTGTATTTGTGTATAAATATACAAAATGTTTTTTTATATCTGTTAATAAAGTATGAAAATTATTTATTAAAATGAAAAAATTTTTTTTTTTCATTATTCACGATGATATAATATTTTTACACCAAGAACGAGAAAAGGATAACGAAACAGGTAGAGGAACTACTATATTATTTTTTTAATTTTTTTATTGAATAATTTTTTGTTTCAGCGGTGATTGACTGTGTGTGTGTGTTTTAAGACCACTGTTTTATGAAATAAGAGGGAAATATTAATATTATTATTTAAAATAAATAATTTAAAAATAATTAATTTAAAATAAAAAATAAATTATACATATTGTTAATAAAAATAATTATATTGAGAATGATATTCGTAATTATAATGATTAAAATGATAAATTGATCTTATTGTTATTATTATTATTAAAAATACCAATAATATTGAAAATAGTAATATAATTCTTCTGAAATATAATACAAATATTTATATAGTTCTTGAAAAATATCATGACAGAGATATGTAGAGTGGAATTAAAATGATTTCTGCTTTGTTGAAAATAATAATAATGGCTAATTATTTCAAATTTACTCAGGTTCATTTGGCTCACATTAAACGTCTTGAAATATTAATAAATATTATTTATGAATAATAATATTATTATATAATAATAATATAATAATATTATTGTTTTTTTAGTAATAATAAAAATAGTAACAATATATGTAATTATTGTTATATTAGCAAACATTTTTATTATTATGACATATAATTATTTCAACTTATAAATTTTAAACTTTGACATCGAAGATCTACAACATATAAACATTTGTGTTTTTTATGGCATTTACAACAAGCAACAATGTTTGGAAATTTTTCTAGTGTCATTCAATATAAAACCAAAACAATTTCAAATTGAATTTTTTTTACATTGTAACTCCGTCTAACGCTGGGCTGCTCGCATGTTATTCTATATATCAATACTTCATTACACGACGCACATACATGCATGCTAACCTGAGGACTAAATATGATTTAATAAATTTTTTCCCTATTTCACTTCTTTCTCTAGGTTTCCGTCGAGGCCAATAGCAGTTCTTGAATTTGGGAAATCTTGTTGGAAATCTGGCCCTGTAAAGTTAAAAAAGTTTTCAATGTGGCCCTCACAGCAAAACGTTTGCCCACCTCTGCTGTAAGGTTTTCCCAACCTTGTAAGATTTAAGTTACTGCAAACTGACTAGAAACATAGGTTAAGTGAGAGCTTTGCGGCTGAATTCTTCACTAGAGAAAAAATATTTGCTATGGCTAAGGCTAAAATAAACAAAATATTTTGAAAAGTAGATCTGAAAACTATTTCATCTTTCACAACAATAAAATTGAGGTAAGTTTTTGCAAAAAAACAACCGTTTCTGATAACTAAACCACCACCTCTTCTGGTCCAATCATTAACGAAAGTCCGTGTTCGGTGAATAGAGGTGAAAACATCCTTTGTACAAAATCATCACTTGATTTGCAGTTTATTACGGTGAGCTTTAAATAATTCAATCTGTTGTCTAACAATAGATAAAATTGCTGTAGTATTTTTGTACACAGACAGACCTGCCTATAGTTTAGAAGTTTAACTTTTCAACCGTCGACACAGTTTCAAAACTTTACGTCAAATTAATAAACTTGTTGATGTGTACAAATTGGATGCCTGAATAATATGTACAAATTGGATGCTTGAATAATAACCTGCATCAACCAGATCTATTGACAGAACCATCAAATCAGCAGCCAAGTAAAATTTCTTTATTGTAATGTTTTCTTTCTAGTATTCAAACAAGATGAGGGGTTTGCAAGTTGAATCATTAACAAAAACACTGAAACTAACGACAGCAAAATTAATTTTAAACATTCAAACACGGACTTGAGTTAATTTTTAAAAAAAATTTAGTTAATTAGTTCATTTGTTTGCAATTTCAAAAACAAATTTGAAAACAAGTTGTAATTGTTGAAATCTAACCTAAAGTGGGAGTCTGGAGACTAAGTCTCAAATTTTTTTATCGGATTTGAAAATTGTTTGCGGTGTTGGACAATATTTTGCGGAGTAAAAAAATTTTCAATGAACGTACTGGTGTCAGAATTTTAAAAAATTTTCACTGACACTATGCGTTTGTTCGTTTGTTTCATTGCATTTGAGTTCTTATTTAACATCTATTATACAATTTTCTATAAAACCCACCTTTCCAATTTGTTTTTTTCATCTTTTTTGTTTTTTTCTAATTAATATTGAAATAAATCATTGACTCACACGCACGAGCAGCGCATTACATACATAAAATGTGACAGGTAAAAATCTTTCTGCAGTCAAAACAGGCCAACCATCTCGACGTTTATCTAAATAGTTAAAATTACTTGGCTTGTAGACTGTAGACAAAAAATTATTCTCAACAGCGGTAACCAAAATTTTAAAAAATCTTGATTACAGAATATGTAAATAAAAATTGTTTTATTTGAAATGGAAGTATCTCCTTCACTGTATAACAATTAATCAAAATGTAATCGAGTTATTCGAAAAATGGTTAAGTTGTCAAATCACAAAGTCAATATTCAGGATCGTCTTTGATGAACCAGCAGCAAAGATCTGAAAAATCTAACTTTGCTTTTAACAAGTTCTAGGCTGTAAAAAGTTATAGCGCACTATATAAGCTCGACCAAGTTTGAAACATCAAATTATTTAACAATTGTCTCATAGTGTTCAGCCGTGTTGATAAAAAGGATTTTAACTGCAGTACGAAAAAGATTTTTATCGCAACTCGAAAAGATTTTAATCATAATAAAATCAATATTTACTACCTGTTACACGTTTCTTGAATCAAATCGTTCAAATTCAACAATGGAACAAATGGATTTTTCATTCGACAGCGAAATTCCAGAAAAGAAAACTGCAAAAAAGAAAAAATGTTTAGTGGAAAACTGTAAATTTACAGCTGTAAACAACCACCACATGAAATACCACATGGTAACAACACATGGATTAGGGCAAAAACTTGTATGTCAAATTTGCAAAACATACACGTGTGCCAACAATTCTATGCTGAACAGCCATATGAAGAGCCACTCAGAAGTGAGGTCTCACGCGTGCCAGACTTGTGGAGCCTCGTACAAATTTTCGTACAAATTAAAACAACATCTCCTAAAACACCCATCTCACGTTTCAACCCCAGATGTAAATTCACCAGTCCAAGAGCCCAAGAGACAACGTGGAAGAAAACGAAGTTCAACGAATAACGTGACGAACAGCTTTTCAGAAGAAGAAGTCAGTAATGTCAATAGAACAAGTAAAGGCAGGAAAAAAGTGCAAGCTGTTCTGCCTCGTGAGCATCCAAATGGAGAAGCTCATATTAGTACAATATTGACTGAAGTGAGGCAAACAATGGGGAGGAGGAGACCCAGGAAGGGAGTGCCCAGGAAGATCACGTGGTTTGCTCCAGCATCAGACGATGAAGAAATGATAAACGAGAAACTTTTTTAATATTACTTTTTGTGGTTTTCAATTTTTATAAAAATGTAAATAAAACATATAAACAATTGTATGCGTTCAAATTTATGTATTAATTCTATAAGTTTTTATATTTATTGCTGCAA